GAGTATGCATTTGGGATTAAAATTAGTTTATTATACTCTAGATTAGTTTGTTAGCTGTCTGACAGGAAATAGTTTACTTGTTTAACGTTTAATTATTTGGAGTAATTTTTTATAAAATTTGCTAAAATTTAAATTTGTATATGAGGTTAACTTTTTAACGTGGGTAAACACACGCTTAGATTAATGTCTTTAAGAAAGGTCTGGCCATCCTTACAAGACCCATTTTTTTACTAAGTACTGCTAACAAAAATATTAAAAATCGGCTGGTGCGCGGACAATGGTTGGTAGGCGGTATGTATTAGAAATTGTATAAATTCACTGTATTACTTGTTCTAGATCGTTTCCTTAGTGACACCTATTACTCTTTGGGACTACGCTGTACCACAAGTGCATAGAGACCGCGTTCGCGCTTTGGTGTGATGGATTGTCGCATACTCTAGGTGGGCTTAAGCATTTCCAGCCAACGTAGTATAAGTAATTAGGTAGGTGGGTGATGTGATAAATTGAGTGATGTGTTACCCGTAAGTGAAGCGATTAAAAAGTGAATAATTTTTCTTCCCTTACAATAAAACTATCGATATATATATATATAAATTTAAGGTATTCGAAATCTATCACCTCACCTAATATTAAAGTTCTTATCAATAATACAAATAGAACTAATTTATATAAGGAATATTGTCACCTCTTATTTGTATTAAAGGTTCACAAACTATTCCAATTTTATATACTTCATATATCGTGTGTTACATGAGCCATTATCAATAGTACTTAGTATATATATATATTATATATATTAGCTTTAATAGTTGCCTTAATATGGATAGGTTACCTATATATTAAGCCTTTCCTGTGCAGTCTATCATCACTTATATTTCAATAATATCGGCAAATTTAATATAATGGAGTTGTCAGGACTAATTTGAAAACTCAACCTTATATATACATACACAGTTTATACAGGGCATTGCACTGCTTGTGGATACTGTAAAAAAAATATTAACGCGGAGTTACAAATCTCCTCTTGAGCGTATCAATAT